AATGAATAATATCATGTACCAACTAGACGAAATGTATAAAATCTGACTTAATAGGTTGATAGACGTATAACTACAATGGAAAAAAAAGCATTCATCATCTTCAGGATATATTCAAACCATTATTTTCTTCAGGTCAATCAAGAAAATTTAATTTGAAATTTTATGTGGTAATATCTCATATTACTGATTTACTATAATATAACTAATGCGGATATAAAAGTTCAAAGACATTCCTTTCTGTTCAGTAAATATTCATTTAATTTAAACCTTCCTTCCCTCCTTACTTACATACTCACTCACTTACTTACTTACTTACTTACTTCCTCACTTCCTTCATTCCTTCCTCCCATACTTACTTACTTACTTACGTCCTTACATATTTACTTACACCTGTTACTTCCAATGGAGTATAGGCCGCCGACCAGTAAATTTAACCTTATGGAAACTATCTTTTTTGAAATATTCAATAAGAAATTTTCTAATATCTTTTTATACATTTAATGGGTCAGTGTAGCATTCAAATGTAATATTCACTGTGGAATTGATTTCAATCATCTAAAACTGTTTGTTTATGTATTTTATGAATAGAACAGTACTGTGAAGACTGACTAAATAAAGGGAAAGTTAGAGAATGAAATAAGAACTATAATGAAAATTACGTTCTTAGATATTCAGCATTAACTGTCTAAGTAAACTGGAAAATATTAGATAATGCACACAAATTTAAAATGTTTTTCTTAGTGTAGGGTTGTGGAGATTGTTGGATTGAGATCATGAATTGATCAATGTTAGACTACCATTGAAAACTTGAAGTCACTGGATAAGATTTTCGTCCTAGTATGGAACTCCTCAACAGTGAGCACCCACGATCTTGCTCACTGGATTCGAACCCAGGAACACCTATTATCTTAGCTAGTTACCTGTTTGTACGTGACATGGATTATCTCCACTGGTCATGGCTTCTCGTGTATGCAAACTGCTAAGGTGTTTCACATTAGAACAAAATGGCCGTCCAGTGATTCCTGGTTTTCAACGGTGGTCTAACATTAATCGATTCATAATCTCAATCTAAAAATATTCTTACTGTCACTTGGGAGATTGATTATAGTTTCTTTTTTTCTTGTCATAAAAATGAGCTAAAAATATGTAATCGTCAATATTCATTAATGAATGTTTTGTTTTCTGTCATTATTGCAAATAGTTGTCATTTATTCATTTTGAATCAATAGTTGTTTATCAGTATTAAACTAATTTATGCATCCTTAAAACACTATTTTCTAAACATGATGAATGTTGTTAAGTATCTTACGTTCAGATGAGTACAAAAACAACAGTAACAACAACAACAACAATAACTTCAATTCAGTTATTTATTCACTCTGAAGAAGATACTTACATTAAGTTACGAAATGTTATAAATAAAATTTTCCTATACGTTGAGTTATAATAAAATATATTATCAGAAAGGGGTATTGTGGAGATTGTAGTAATTTAATAGATGAATTCATGAGTCATTTAAAGCTATGTCATCATAGAATACCTAGAAACATTGAACAGACGTTTCGTCTTAGTATGAGACTCCTTAGCAGTGTACATCCACGATCCTGCATCAAAGAGATTCGAACGCAGGACTTTTGATCTCGCGCGTGAATGCTTAATATCTAGATCAATGAACTGAAATCCAACGGTGTTGAAGTCTAATTTCAATCGATCCACAATATTACGCCACCATCTATCATTGTCTTCAGTGGCTTACTATCTCACAACAAACCCAGTTGAATATATTTATTATTAACAATTTTAATGTAATTGACAAAGTTTAATTAGTTTGCAAGTGAGATATTTATTACCAATTCATATGAATAATCATTACACAATATAATGAATTGGTTAAGTCAAGAAATATGAAACACTGAATTCAAAGAAATCGACATTACGTTAATCAATTTGATACATTTCTCAAAATGTCTAGTCCTCTATAATATATGAAATGTGAATGTTTTAAGAAGAAAAAACAAATGATTTCGTGGATATTACAGTAATTTTAATAGTTGAATTCATGACCATCGTGCAACACCTAGATGCACTGGACGACCGTTTGGTTGAAGTTAAACATTAACACCGTTGGATGCTGATTCAATGGTCTAGAGGTTAAGTGTTCGTCACCAAGACCGATAGATTCTCGGTTCAAAACTTGTCTGGCATGATCGTGAATCTGCACTGCTGAAGAGTCCTATACTCGGATGAGACAACGTTACAGAGTTTAAATGATGTTTTCCTTACAGCTGAACTTAATTTTTTATGTAATTTGTTCTCAAACTTCATTGGAAATATTAAGTTAAATTTGTTTTAGTAAACAAAAAAATAAATGTAAAACTGATTTATTGCTACTTTAATGTAATCAACTTTGAATAAAAACATTTTACCAGCAATATTATACGGTATATTTACATTGTTTACTAACAAATCTTTATTGATTGTACTACTACTACTACTACTACTACTATTACTACTATTACTACTACTACTACTACTACTATTACTACTACTACTACTACTATTACTACTATTACTACTACTACTACTTATAATAATTCAATAATTTATATCAGTAATATTTTGCCTGTTTATATTTGACCTGATATAAAGCTTAATATTAAATAATGATTTGGTTAATAACTATACAGGGTTTTTAAGTGAATGTAGACAACAACAACAACTTTCTGATTAGGTTATACTTGATTCAATCAAAACAGTTCACCTTAAAATTATTAAGCAATTCAATGGAACAAACATGAAACCAATATATTTATTGATTTAATTGATTTAAAATATCTAATATAATCAATTTATTAGAATCACTGTCACTAAATGACCTGGTATGGACGAGGGTGGGGAGAGTCAGCTCTTGTTCTTGAATTTTTCTCACATGGCGAAGTGCATGCAATCACTGCTACAAATGTATAACTCATTGCCTTCTCAAGGTAGGAGCGCTGTCTAAAAAGTTGAAAGGAAGAAAAGCGAATGTCCAGCGTTTTAACCAGGTTGATAGATTGGAAAATCCTCATTCTTAACCAATGGTGCACGTGGGCTCCAGAATCTTGAGGAAACAAATGGCATATGAATCAATCATTGAACACTGACTACCATGGAACTGCATCGCCTTATGTTACTCCACTGCCTTGTGGATTAGACCTTTAGTTTGAAGGCTCCGTGTGTTGCCCTCTAAGACACCTGGGCAGTATAACAGCCCACACACAAATCAAATGATATTTAATACTGGAAAAATTACTCTTGCTCCAACGCTCATCCAGTCAAGTCACATTCACAATCATTAGATAACATTCATTCTTATTTCTTTTATACTACGTCAATTATTTACTTCATCTATCTCTTCGGAAAGCTTGTTTCACGTCCGTTTATCTGGAGACCCTGTGGCACCTACGTCCGGTTTTGCTGGTATTGATGTCACACTAAGCGCTAATGCTGAAGCACCATCAATTAACTGGAACCGAATCAACAGTTGGTTGTTTGTTGTAAGATAAGAAGGTTCTATTAAAGTAAAAGGAAATCGGTGTGAGAAACGACGTCTTTTCGTCATCACTGCCAATACTTCGAAAGAGTGCGGTCATGAAGTAACTTGTGCAGAAAGCTCATGTGACAGATATTGTAGTGCTAGCCGGAGACTTGAATGCTAAGGTCGGGCGTCTAGGAACAAAAGAGAGTAGTTCAGGTGACAGATGGAGACTTTTTGGTCTCAGGTTAGATAACGGTAACCGTCTCCTGGAACTTTGTGAAGGCTATAATCTGTTTCTGGCTAGCATTAACTACCGGCACAGTCATCACCAATGGGCCACCTGGCGTCCTCCCTCTGCATCTCAAGCCTGTACTCAGATTGACCACATTACGATCAGCTATCGCTGGCGTGATTGTGCACAAGACTGCCGCTCCTTTTGGAAGCCCTATTTAAACTCTTGTTTGCGCTAATCTTACCTTACTTTTCAGTGGCCAACAAATTCATCTTTCGGAAAGCATCGATATCAGTAAATTGGTTTCAGCTTCTGTTACAACTAAATATCAAACCGAGCTAGGTTCTAGGCTAGGTACCAGCCTATCGTAAGGTATAGATGAGTGTTGGTCGCAATTGGATAACGCCATGAAAATGGCGAGTGAAGTCGCACTGAGTCTCTTCAGGCTTCTTATAAATCATTGAACTCTGTCGGTATACTCTTGTTAACCGTGAGTCTGACCACAAACGAAGATTGTTACATAATGAAATTGTGCAAAGCCTGCGTTAGGACCGAGAAGGCTGGGGGTCCGAGTGTGTCAATGAATCGGAAGCAGCGGCTGCATCCGTTAACTGCCAGTAGCTTTTTCACCTCATCCTAGTTACTGGCAGCGAGAAGTCTGATGTGTGCGAAACAATCAATCGAGATGAAGTTCCCACTTGCGGGATTCGAACCCAGGACTTTCGGCTCAGTGATCTGGAGGTTAGGCGTTCTCGCGCGAGACCGAATGTCTTGTGTGCGAATCCCGCAGGTGGGTTTATGGATGCATACTGCTGAAGAGTCCTATACTAGGAGGAGACAACTGTCCGGTGTTTCCAGGTTTTCCATAATGGTCTAGATTTATTTGACTGATGAACTCAACTATTAAATTATTACAATCTCCATAAAAAACAAAACTTCTTATGATAATAATCATCATCATCATGTGCTCACTAGTGGCTGGCTTCAACAGGTATTTCATGAAGTTCTAATAAGAAACCATGACCAGTGGAGTTCAATTGGGCCTGTTGTGAGATAGTAACTCACTGAATACAATGATGGATGGTGGCGCAATTTCTTGGATTATTGAACATAACATTGAATATACTTTAGTCTTCACTGATTAGGCTCAATTAATGTTTAGCAACATATGAACACTATAAATAAATATTATTGTAATCATTCAATTGATTTATTTTTTATTATTTGCATTTTATTTATTTATTTTCTTAGGTGGAATATGCGCAGACTTTTTAAGAATTAATACTAAATTATCACGAACTACAATACATAAATTATTTGCTGGATTAGGATTTGGATTAAAAGGTATATTCTTTATTGCACTTGGTTATGCACCATCTGAAATCTATGCAACAATGTTACTTTCATTGGCATTAGGTAAGTAATATGTCAATCTATCTATCTATCTATCTATCTATCTATCTATCTATCTATCTATCCACACATCTATCTATCTATCTATCTATCTATCTATCCACACATCTATCTATCTATCTATCTATCTATCTATCTATCTATCTATCTATCTATCTATCCACACATCTATCTATCTATCTATCTATCTATTTATCTATCTATCTATCCACACATCTATCTATCTATCTATCTATCTATCTATCCACACATCTATCTATCTATCTATCCACACATCTATCTATCTATCTATATATCTATCTATCCACACATCTATCTATCTATCTATCTATCTATCTATCTATCTATCTATCTATCTATCTATCTATCCACACATCTATCTATCTATCTATCTATCTATCTATCTATCTATCTATCTATCTATCTATCTATCTATCTATCTATCCACACATCTATCTATCTATCTATCTATCTATCTATTTATCTATCTATCTATCTATCTATCTATCCACACATCTATCTATCTATCTATCTATCTATCTATCTATCTATCCACACATCTATCTATCTATCTATCTATCTATCTATCTATCTATCTATCCACACATCTATCTATCTATCTATCTATCTATCGTATTTTTCTCTCCAAATTTTGTTCTTTTTTGATAAGATCATTGTTTGAATAATTCTTTTCAGTAGTGATATTTATTTATTTAAACACTTAAATATTAGTACAAAAGAGAACCGAATACATATGCACTATAGAAGTCATTTGATTTATGTATTGAATGTTATACTGCCAGGGCACCCAAACCGATGCATGTGGTTTACTTAGTGGCCAACACACGGAGCCTTCGAACTAAATGTTTAATCCACAAGGTAGTGAATCAGCATAAGGAGATGCAGTCCCATGTTAGCTGGTGACCAACGATAGGTTCATACTCTATTTGTTTCCTCAGGATACTGGGGTCCATCATTGGTTTGGAATCAGGATTTTCCAACTCCCCTAGGTGGACCGTCTGTGTCCACCGAACCCGGTTAACACTCCTATCATTTATTTTTCGTTCTTTCAACTTCGTAAACAACAGTAATGTCGCTAGAAGTTAGTGAGTAGGACTTCCTTGGCGGTGGTTCTATATGTGTGGCCATGTGAGAGTATTTCGAGAGAGGGAGAGAGGAAGAGAAAGAGATGACTCTCTCTACCCTCGGTCGTACTAAGGCATATGGGGGTGAATTATTCGACCTTTGAGTTTTGTGAAATAATGAATGAGTATCTTATATGATCCTGTTAAGTAAACCGTATTAAACATTGAACGAGAACAGTCTTGAAAAGAAATTAAAATATACTTCTAATTGCTTTCAATTATGCAAAATTTAGTAAAGTATAGGGTAATTACAAGTCAGTTAGTTTCATTTTGAAAAAAATAGTTTGGACAATACAATACAATCAAAATTGTTAAACATTATTGACAATAGACACTTAAAGAATAGATTAATATATTAGCCTATTAGTAAGTATATTACTTACTTACTTATGCCTGTTAATCCTCGTGAAGGAACATAGGCCGCTCATTAGCATTCTCCGTCCAACCCTGTCCTGGGCGATCTTTTCCACTTGTCTCCAGTTGCTATTCATCTTTTTTATATCTGATTTTATTTCTCGGCGTAATGTGTTCTTTGGCCTTCCTCTTTTCCGCTTTCCTTCAGGATTCCAAGTTAGGGCTTGCCTCATGATGCAGTTTGATTATTTCCTGAATGTATGTCTTATCCATTTCTATCGTTTATTCTTAATTTCCTCTTCAGATGGGAGTTGGTTTATTCTCTTTCACAGTAGGCTGTTGTTGATAGTATTCGACAAACGGATGTTGAGTATCTTGTGTAGACAATTATTTATAAATACCTGTACATTTTTGATAATGATCGTAGTAGTTCTCCACTTTTCAGCTCCATACAGTACGTTTACTTCCAATCTTCCTTGTTTATCGATGATGCTATCTAGATTCGTGAAAGATTTCACATTTTCCAAAGTTCCTCATTCATGTATGATTAGATTGGTGTTCTCTGTGTTGATTTTTTTTCTCTTTTGTATGTTGATGCCTATTGATTTAGAGGCTGGTGTTACACTGAATGTTTACACTTGCAATAGTTTATGCGTATGGGATAGAAGTCCTTAAAAAAAAAAAAGCCAACCAGATGAAACAGAACTATATTACTCATTGATAATAACAACTATAAGGTCAAGTTATCGTCTCATTGTATACTTAAACAAAATATATAGAACAGATAGATGATTATATTAAAAGTACTTTACTTAGAATATTCATATATCACCAATGATTTATCAAGATCCAATTAAGATTAACAACAATGAAATAATTCAAATCTTTCATAATATTGATTGAAAGAAAAACGAATGGATAATATTATTGATTTATGAGAATTACAAAAACAAAAAACACTTTCGTTTAGTCACCATGTTTCAGATTTGAAAATCCTCTAACCAATCATGATTCAAAAATAAACTTCCATTTATTTTTCATTTCAGCATATTGTAATCATTCCGAAATACACTTTATTTCTAAGATAAAAAAAAATAAAAAAAATAAATCCCTTAATCCCAAAAAAAAAGAAAGAAAAAGATTAATGTAAACAAATTTGGTTTTAGAAGTGGTTTTTTGTGGAGACTGTAGTAATTTCAATAGTTGAGATCATGAGTCTATGGAAGCTAGACCACCATGGAATATCTGAAAGCCCTGGATGGTCATTTTGTTCCATTGTAGGACTCCTCAGCAGTGCGCATTGTAGATCCCGCCCCACGTGAGATTCGAACCCAGGACGTATGATTCTCGCGCGGAAATGTTTAACCTATAGACCACTGAGCTGAACGGCATGCAATAGTGTTATTGTCTAACTTCAACTAATCCACAAAATTGAGTGACATATTCACCATTGCTTTCAGTGAGTTAATATCTCTCCAGTGCTCCCAGGTTTTCCATATTGGTCTAACTTCAACTGATTCATGATCTCAACTAATGACATTTAGTTGTTTATTTTAGAAGAACAAAATGATTAACTATAAACAAAGATGGATAGTGGATAGTAATGGAATCCAGGACGCGAGTTTCGCCCTATTTGCGACTCGTCAGCCAAGGCAATATTGAGGCAATACGCACAGTATGTACATATGTCATTAAGAGACTGATCAATTTCATTCCTGAAAACATCAGCGGGAAGATTCAAGTAAAACAATACAAAGTGAATTAAAAAGATTAACTAACTGTGAAATTCATGTGTCCTGGTTTAAGATAATTGGAAATAAAATATCCTTGGTATTTGAATAATTCAAAGAAACAATTGATGAAGTAACATGAGAAACTAATAAACAGTAAAGGTATAAGGCATTTAAGTTTATTTATATATATCTATCAGAAGAATTTTCAGTGTTCAGTCATTAGTGTCATCTCAAGTCTATTTATGTAATGTTAGAATGTACATCATGATGATATAATTGATTTTGAACAAACTTTACGGTGTATGTAAAGAAACCAACGTGTTTCATAATGTCGCTTTACAATCACTTTATTTATAAAGCTTGTAACTTATGTCAATATTAAGGCAATACGCACAGTATGTACATATGTCGATATGAAACTGATCAATTGAAGACCTTAACAACAATCGGGAGATACAAATAAACAACACCAAGAAAACTTAAACTTCACCCAATTGCACAAGCAAGTGGCTATCACGACTCAATAGCTAAGTGAATAACGCGATAGGGTTTGCATTGAACGATGCTGGGTTCAAGTCTCGGAGTAAACACGAACTCTGGAATGCAGGTAAATCCAGTTGATGAGTCCAAAATAGGACGAAGTGGCGTTCGTCCTGGATTCCACTGCTAGCCACTATCCATCTTTGCTTATAAAGCTTGTTAAGTAAAGCAATATGGAAGCGATCAGTACTGAATGTACATATGTCAATATGAGACTGATCAATCTGAGTTCTAAATATCAAATTGAAGATTCAACTGACTAATACAAAATGAAAATGATATATAATATATTTATTTATGTAAAAATCTAAAGTTTCTGATATAGGAAGAATAAAATTTATACAATACTTAACAAGTAATCGAACTAATATGATCTTATTTTGAAATGAGTGCAAATAGGGCTAATTTATTTATTTAAACACATATACATTGGTACAAGGAGGCACCAAACAGATGTGCGCCACATAAATCATTCAATTTATGTGAGGGTTTGGATACTGCCTGGGTGCTCAGACCGAAGCAGGTGGTTTTCTTTGGAAGCAACACCCGGAGCCTTCAAACTAAAGGTTTAATTCACAAGACGGTGGAGCAACGTAAGGAGATGTAGTCCCATGGTAACCAGTAACCAACGATTGGTTCATATGTTATTTTGTTCCTTCAGGATCCTGAAGCCCATGTTAACCATTGGTTTGGAATCAAGAGTTTCCTACTCCCCTAGGTGGACTCTCTATGTCCATCAACCTTGTTAAAGCACCGGGCATTCGCTTTTCGTCCTCTTAATTTCGTAAACAACACGCTCACCGCGAGAAGGCAGTGAGTTACAGTTCCATGGCAGTGGTTGTATGCACATGGCCGTGTGAGAGCATTTCGAGAGGGAGAGCTGACTTACTCTACTCTCGGCTATAATAAGAAATTTGGAGGCCATGCTTTATAACGTAGGCATCTCGTATAATTATACATAGATTCCTCACACATACATACAGTTATTGTTATCATTGTAAAATAAATATTTTTGTTTAGACTATTTTATCATTTGAACATATCCTAATGATCCTGTTGTTAACTTTGGCTAAATAACATTTATAGACTAAAGGACACTAAACAAATCTTTCATCCCAGTATAGAACTCCTAACTAATGTATATTTACTGCTACACTAGAAATCGAACTCAGTACATTCGAAACATTTAGTAGATGACTAACAACAATTCATATTGATGTTACGCGTCATA